GTCCCCTACCATTGCTACGCGCACGGGGTGGACGTGTTGTTCACCGTCTTCCGGCTCATGCAGCTCAGCGGGGCGACCAAGTGGACCAGCGAGATTGAGCAGTACGCGATGCTCGTGGCGTCCCTTTGCCACGACCTGGGACACTTTGGGCGGACCAACCAGGCGCTTGGGAAGTGGAAGGGGAGGCCCTGTGATGGTTGGGCCCCTGAAATTGCTTCAGAAACTGGGGTTGCTTCAGAAACCTTTGGGTTGTGCCTGGTTTTGATGACATCTGCGGATGTATGTCTGCTCCCCCGGTTGTCGAAACGCTCCCGTCAGTTCCTGGTGGAGACGAAGCATGAGTTGGCCCTGCGATACAACGACAAGTCCCCCTTAGAGAACATGCACTGCGCTGCGCTCTTCCAGATTTGCCAGCATGCCAACCAGAACTTGCCCGGGCCCCATCTGGAATGAGAGCATCGAGTTGCAACTTCTCGGTAGCGCCTCAGACTGAGGTTTGCACAGGCATCGGCAGACGAGCAAAAGGAAGCGCGAAAGGTTGCCATCGCCGCCATTCTGCATACCGACAATGCCCACCACTTTGAAATGGTCAAGGCCGGCAGCGCTGCGTGGCATCATGTGCAATCCATGGCAATCTGTTGCTTGTGAAGATGGCGCAGGGGTGAGGCTTTTGAGAGGCTTGCAATTTATCATTGGACTTGCCAGGACGTGAGTGCAGTTTATGAGATGGAGTCGGAGACCTGCGACGCTCAAGCAATGACTCCCGAGGCAAGGCTGTTGGAAACATTGGGTGGGTTTCAAGAAAGGAGGGGGAAGCCAACATCATGGGTGGTCCGCAAGTTCGGTGGGCACAGCATTTCCAAAGATAGAAGGCGTTTCCCTTGCCATTTGGCGCAGCACCTTTTTTTTTGTTGTTACAACCTGTTTTTGTCAGGTAATGATGCCATCGTACAGGGACAAGGTCTTGATGGGCAAGAACAAGCTGATGTGGCTACAGCTCTTCTTGCACTTTGCAGACGTCTCGAACCCATTGCAGCTCGCCGAAACGTTAAAGCAGTCATATTGCCTTTGCAGCAAGGGGAGGTGGTTGAAGGCCCTGGCCCTTTTGCATTTGTTCTAAACTGCTTGTTGATGCAGCGAGGAGGCCCTCAGAGCCACAAGTGCATGAAGCACTCTTATAATGCTTACCCTCATAGAAACATTGCACCTGAGAGAGTTCCCCCTAGAGGAAATCTATCTTCCAGGCGCCCGCCAGGTGCCATATTGCCATATTAGCTGGAGCTAAGAAAAAAGGCAAAGAAAGAAGAGCGCGCCAAGGCCTCAAAAAATGCGCAGGGAAAAGAACCCGAACATTTAAGCAAAGCCCTTGGCGAGGAAGCCTTTCGAGATTTGTCGGGCCTGGGCCTGGCGGGTCCTGGACGAGTTCTTCGAGCAGGGTGACGAGGAGACCTGGGCCCTGCCTTTCCATGTGTATCAAAATAAGGGACCCCCCAGAAAATCAGTGGCTTCCTTCGCATAGCCCAATTTCTTCAAACTTCCTTAAATTGAAGCCTGAAGTGAAGGTGACGTTACAGAAGCGTCGTTTGCCCCGGGAAAATGAAGCGACCAAGAGACTTGTGTCACACATTGCGAGGCGCTTTTGGACCCCTCAAAGTCGAAATTCAAGTGGCAACAGTTGGGGAACGTCGTGCCATGACCTTTCGTTGCAGGGGTGTTGTAACCAAAGACATCCTGCGATGCAAAGACAATTCGAAGGCCATGTTGGACCGAATGTTTACCGGGAGGTTGAAACGGACTCCTTACACTTAGTGGGATGCTGCTTGCACGAAGTCCTGGTCGATATCAAGTGTTCTTTGGTTGGGTAACCCTGATTTCATGCTGGTGAGTCATACCAAGGGGCTCATGCTACGGCTACGGCAAACCTTTCTCGCTGCATCTGTTAGGAGAAGTCGCTGGGAGTGCCGGTTGGGATGTTGAATGATCGGGACAAGGCGGGAGGGCGAAACAACGCAGCAGGCACCACCGGAGCGGCTCCTACGAACCGGTCCATTGCTATCCCTTCAATCCGGATTCACCCCAGTCAGGTCTTTTGGACCATGGCGCTTGCGAGCCCCCGATCTTCTGCGCATTCAGCAAGGGGATGGATCTTGAGTTGACCGCAGTGGTTGGTCCAGAATGCCCATCGTCCACTATACGCGGGTGAGTCCCCTTTTTGACCACCAGACTTTTTCTTTGAGCTTAGTCTTGTAAACGCAAATCGTATTGAAATGGCCAGTTCAACTGTGTCGTGTGCAGGTAAATCGCCCGGGTTCCCAACATGGCTTTATCAACTTCTTGGTGGCACCATTCGTGGCTGCCAGCGTGCCTTGCCCGAAGGAGCATCTTTGTAGATTATTTGTTCCCCACCCAGATAGGCTCCGGAGTGGTTTGCTTTGGGCTAGGCATATATATATATATATATATATACATACATAGATATATACACATGTTTCATCATTTTTCGGCCAGGGGGGGGGGGAAGCGTGACGCCAAGGAGAACGGAACAAAAGAATGGTTTGTGCATGCCATGCTACTGTAATCTTCATTTTTGTTTTGGTCTGGCAGGGGGCAAAGTTGGCCTGACCCAATCTTGTAAACGAGGCGTGCCGGCGATTTGGTGCCTCGCTCTGAGGTGAGGGTATTCCCGATCTTTCAGCCGCTGCACGGGCAGATGATCCGGAACTTGGAGGCGTGTGGGCCAACCTATGACCAGCATATTGTCTTTTTGGGCGAAGTTGTGGCACCACTCGCTGCCAAGGCTTGCTAGTGGGGCCTTGTTTAGGAAGGCCCTCCTGCAGACTCCTGCATGGTCTTGTAAGGCGTGGAAGCGCACAGCTCCTCGTTTGAAAGGCTGCTATCTTTGCCCCTAAAGCAGGCCCAGCCAAGATTAATCGATGCCGACCACAAAACCTGTCAGGAGTGGCGAAACCTGTGGATCGAGGACCTTGTGGCAATGTCGTGTTGCAGGCTTTTTGCGAGTCTCAGAAAAAGCTCTTATCGGCGATTCACAGGTTAAGCCCATGACTCTTCAAGGTGTTGATCCCCCTGATGAGGCCCGTGTCGCTTTGGGAGGTTGGTTTTGAATGAGAACCCTGGGATGTCCCGGGGCGCCCATGGTGGTTTCACCGTCTCAAAGCGCCCTGGCTTGCGAAGGATGCGATGCCGTCAGACGAGGACATCGCAAAGAAGGATGCAGATGTTTTTGCCTTGGATGCTGGCGCAGAGGGGGGGGAGAGACAGAGAGAGACCAGTGAGCCAGGGCGCAAAATGCGTTCCAAAGTCATGACTCATGCTTGACAACCACTCATTTGGCGCCAGTTCAGTTGACACGCCCAGGAAGGTATCACCAATGTCCTAAAATGCAATCTCGCTCTGGGCATGTGTTGTTATTTGTATGGGAATCCAGCTTATGGCCATATTTCTACCAAGGAAAGTACAAGAGTCCAACCTGCAGAGATATAGCCAAGTTCTAGGGGTGTCAAACCAGCACGAGCGGTTGAAGGGGAAACCGAACTGGCCAGTGTCGCAGTTAGGAACCCCGAAACGTCAGACCCAAGGTGAGCAAGTTGAAGGCTCTGGATTTGGACCTCGCTGCACGAAAAAGCTAGCTGGGTGGCCGCCCGCGCCTGGGCTGAGCGAGGGTCGACGTGTGCGAAGGTTAGGCCTTAAGAGGGGGCTTGCTTGGCAAGGCTTTTTGATGGTTGTGGGATGTACCCTTTGAGGAGTTCTGTTTGGCGGGAATATGACTGGGGATCCCGGGCTGCCTAATGAGTGGCAAACGTGGAACTCTCGGCGGCTTGGTTTGTGGTTGAGTTGGGTCGTTACTGCGAGCCCCCACACCCGCGCCCATCCGAGGCTAGTGACTCCATGTAACTGTCCCTCAGTCTCACCGCTGCTTGCGAAGGAATCTAGCCGGCAGGCCACTGATGGGTGGCCTCCGGCTGCACGAACGCGGCAGAGTGATCTGCCAGAAACGGGGCCGCCGCGCCGTGCCAGGAGACAGAACCATGTGGGCGATTGCAGGAAAATGGGGTTGTCAACTTGGTGGGGGTTTTCAAAGCCTTGTTTATGACTGGGCTAATGTGCATGCTCACACAAAGATTCGGCGCAGACGGGGGAATAGCCACGGGGCGCCCGGCCCCACCACCGTGAGACTCAACATTTTCAAGAATGGCTGAAGTGTGTAACTCAAACACAGATGGAATCGTGCAGGCAATGTCCCTCTGGCTACATCAGCTTTCGGCAAACAAGACACCAGTGTTGCTGCACAGAGAAGATCAAGCAGAACATATTAGTTCTCAATGCTGTCTCCCATAGACAGTTTGGTTTGTATTTGTACATGGGAAGGAAAGGACTGGTGTAATATCATTCTATCCATTGAAAGCTATGAATCAGGCTGGAGCCGCTGCTGGCTTAGCCAGAAAGGAGCTCCAACCAGACCTATGGCACCTATGGGCATTTGTTTCATATTCCCATGGTATTTGCACCTTGAAATTGAACCCTTGAAGAACCGGGCGCTTTTGTCCGTCGCCTCTGGCATCGCGGCGCGCCAGCACGTTGGACCTGTCTCACCCGCGAGCGCCCTGCGAAACCGTACCCAGCGAAGCTGGCACAGGTTTCTCCGAGCCAAAGTGGAAAAGGCACTGCCCCATCGGCTGGCTCGTTCCATTTTTTGTCGTTGTCGTTGTCATTGTGTGCTGTGGTTTTTTGTTTAAACCGGATTTTGTTTCATCTGTGTGACTTTCGGCTGCCTTTCTTTTGTGTCTGGTTGTGTTTTGTCGTTATTGGCTATTATCCAAGGCGGGAAGTCCACACCTTGGCTTCTGAATGCGCGATGGGCAGGTTTAGAACAACACGCCGACAAACAACGCATGATTAGGTGTGGACATGTCCAGGTGAGTATGTGTCAAAACTAGTTGGTCTCACCACATGGGATTTTGAGATTTGGCAGAAAGCATGAGGTTGGTGGCTACGGCGGACGGCTGCAGGGCAAATCGGAGCCTTCGGCTAGTCCTTGCATGTTCCAACTTGAGCCAAGGGTTGTTGTTGTTGTTGTTGTTGTTGTTGTTGTTGTTGTTGTTGTTGTTGTTGTTGTTGTTGTTGTTGTTGTTGTTGTTGTTGTTGTTGTTGTTGTTGTGGTTGTGGTTGTGGTTGTGGTTGTGGTTGTGGTTGTGGTTGTGGATTGTGGATGTGGATGTGGTTGTGGTTGTGGTTGTGGTTGTGGTTGTGGTTGTGGTTGTGGTTGTGGTTGTGGTTGTGGTTGTGGTTGTGGTTGTGGTTGTGGTTGTGGTTGTGGTTGTGGTTGTGGTTGTGGTTGTGGTGGTGGTGGTGGTGGTGGTTGTGGTTGTGGTTGTGGTTGTTGTGGTGTGGTGTGGTTGTTGTGGTTGTTGTGGTTGTTGTGGTTGTTGTGGTTGTTGTGGTTGTTGTGGTTGTTGTGGTTGTGGTTGTTGTGTTGTTGTTTGTTGTGGTTGTTGTGTTGTGGTTGTGGTTGTGTGTTTTGTTTTGTTTTGTTTTGTTCTTGTTCTTGTTCTTGTTTGTTCTTGTTCTTGTTCTTGTTCTTGTTCTTGTTCTTGTTCTTGTTCTTGTTCTTGTTCTTGTTCTTGTTCTTGTTCTTGTTCTTGTTCTTGTTCTTGTTCTTGTTCTTGTTCTTGTTCTTGTTCTTGTTCTTGTTCTTGTTCTTGTTCTTGTTCTTGTTCTTGTTCTTGTTCTTGTTCTTGTTCTTGTTCTTGTTCTTGTTCTTGTTGTTGTTCTTGTTATTGTTATTGTTATTGTTATTGTTCTTGTTCTTCTTGTTCTTGTTCTTCTTGTTCTTCTTCTTGTTCTTCTTATTGTTCTTCTTCTTGTTCTTCTTCTTGTTCTTCTGCTTGTTCTTCTTCTTGTTCTTCTTCTTGTTTCTTCTTCTTGTTCTTGTTCTTGTTCTTCTTCTTGTTCTTCTTCTTGTTCTTCTTCTTGTTCTTCTTCTTGTTCTTCTTCTTGTTCTTCTTCTTCTTGTTCTTCTTCTTGATTCTTTTTGTTGATGTTCTTCTTGATGTTCTTCTTGATTTTTTTGTTGATGTTCTTCTTGATGTTCTTCTTGGTGTTCTTCTTCTTCTTGTTCTTCTTGATGTTCTTCTTGATGTTCTTCTTGATGTTCTTCTTGATGTTCTTCTTCTTGTTCTTATTCTTGTTCTTATTCTTGTTCTTATTCTTGTTCTTCTTGTTGTTCTCGTGCTGCCCGCTCCGCACTGACACATATGCCTGCCAAAGTAATAATTGAGCACACCCCCTGAGTGCACCCGCTCAGCACTGCACACACCTGCAAAATGAAATCTGCAACTGCTCAAGTGCACCGCTCAGCGCTGCACGCACCCCTGCCAAATTGAAAGCGTGCCCGCCCAAGTGCTCCCGCTCAGCTCCGCGCGCCTAGTCCTGTCTGCCGGCTCAGCACTGCGCACACGCCTGCCAAATGGTAAGCGCGCCTGCTAAGTGCGCCCGCATGCGCCCGCTCAGCATTGCACTCACCTGCCAAATGGCAAGCTGCTCAAGTAATTGGATTCTTCAATGGGGTGCCATTTGCATGGAGGCGTCGTTCCCCTTCGCATTGTTGATTTGCCAGACGAAAGCACCATTTGTAAATTTGCAGTATCTTTTGATTGTGTTGGGAGTCTTTTTGGGGCCTGCGCATTGAACTCTCCTGTGATTCACTACGTTTTGCGTTTGGGCAACGAAGGTGGTGTTTTTTGGCGTTTTCGTCCTCATTCTTGTTGTTGGTGGTGGTGCTGGCGGTGGTGGTGTCAGTCGTGCTGGTGCTGGACTGCTGGACGTGCTGCATGCTACGATGGTTTTGGCTTGAGACGACTCTTTCAAGAGTTGTTTTCCCCTTTTTGTCTCGCCACACTGCAAGCATCCTAAGGCCCTAGGCCTTAGGTCCCTAACCCGGAGCCCATCTGCGCTCTTAGGTCAGGTTTTGGAAACATTGTAAAACAATTCAGACGGATGGCTTTGACGCACCCCAGGAGCTGGAGGGTATCCATGCAGCGCGGGGCCCCGGAGCCGTTCTTCATCTTTCCGCTCCACTCTTGCGTTTCTGTAGGGGAACGGTGTGTCAAAGGGTGGTTCACCGGGCCCCCTGGCGTCCTGCATGTCTAAGAAATGCTACGGCTCCAAAGGAGGATCCCTTGAAAGCCCGGGCTGACCTTTGTTGGTCCCTTTGCCCTTGAGCGTCCTTCAATGGAAAAAACACCCTCAACTGTTTCCCCAGCCACGTTTCTCAGCTAGCGCCATTGTCGCATACTGCTTTTTATGTACGGAGGTTGAAGCCTGGTGGCATGGGGGTAAATGGCACCTATTGCAGAGGGAAATCCTGTTGACCGTGGACGTGGCACGCCGGTTCGCCAGGTGGAAGCGCAGGTGGAGGGATCCCGGCTGGTCCTGCGGCAGCTGGCCGGCGACGGCATGGCGCGCAGCGGGGGGGTGGGGGGGGTGGTCGTGGGGGTGGTGGCGGCAGCGGAACCAGCCGCGTGTTGAAGCAGGGCTGAACCTCGAAGCCTGTATCATGTGGCTGCCCCGCTGTCCCGTTTAGTGAGGGTCAGGGGCGGGTTGTGTGGATGATACTTCCCCGACAGTGCTCGTCGGCTGAAATGAGTTTGAGGGAAACCCTCGGGCGGCAGAGTGGGAATTGGAAGACGCTTGAGTTTGGAGAAAGGCAGCGGCCTGGGGGAACCGCTTGCATCGCTTGAGTTTGGAGTCAGATGAGACTGAGGAGAGAAGCAATCCTCTTTTTGCGTCACTTGGCCAGATGTGCGGGCTAGTTCAGTTGCAGCATTCTTTTGAAAGGTGCCATGAGCCATCGGCCAGGTCTACAAGTGCCACTGCGATGTCTCAGCCGTCGGTGGCTCAACGTGTTGCAGATGCCTTTGTCCCCGCCTCTTGCATGTGCGCTGGCTGATGCAGCATTTGCCTGCGGGTTTTGCTTTTTGTGGCGCGCGCGCGTGCGCGCGCGCCGGGCAGGTGACTTAACGAAATAGGGCGTTCTATGGCAGTCCCCGGGTAACACAGGGCGGTCGCGGGGTGCGCGTGCGCGGGAGGGACATCTCAAAGTTTCCGGCCTCAGGATCAGATGGTCCTGATGAACGGCCAGTGGGAATGCTGTAAGCCGGGGCACTTGAGTCGGCTGTGAGCGTGCCCTCACCTGTAATTAAAGCGGCGCAGTTTGCCGCAAGCGGGTGCGGCTTTGCATATAAGTGGCCCAGTAGGGGAACCTCAAAGCGTGGCCAGAACTTGGATGTTTTGCAGCAGGCAGCAAACATTTGCCAGCATATTTTCCAACATGCCACGTATCTTCCAGAGTCGGGGTGATTGACCTCAAAGCGCCTCGGGAGAGCAAACAACTCTGGGTGGAAACCGCCCAGCCGATCCGCTGAGGTTGAAGGGTTCTGCGGAGGAGATCATCGAAGATGTGAACTCCATCAAGGGCACCTTCACGGCAAAGCGCCTGGGTCCGGCTCCAAGCACCCGGGCCAAGTAGAAATAAGCAGCAGGTGTGGATCCGGGTGCAGTTTCGACCCAAATCGTCTTCTCCAGGCGTCGCGCCTTTGGTGGACAGCAGCTTCCGTGCCAGGGCCCGAGGAGTGAATGGGAGACGCGGTGCAGGGCATACATCTTTGTGGTTTTGGTACTTCGTTTTTGGGGCGTGACGGGCGTGGCCTCAAAAATTAAACGGGGCCTTGCGAATTTGCGATCTTGAACTTGCGAAGATCCCAGGAATGGGATGACATGACTCAGTTGCTGGTGGAGACGGCCCGGGCGTCATCCGACTGCCTTCCACAGGGGAGAGTAGCCAATGGCAAAGCAAATGCCTGGATCTTCGTCCTGGATTTGACTTCTCCAAGATGACCTTTGGACCTTGTGGTCGCCCAGTTTTGATCCTGGTTTGTGCACGTTCCAAAAGTCAATCCTTTTCCCCCTTGGTCTTTCGGGGAATTGAGATGCTGAAAAGAAGGGGGAAGTCCACCTGGTTCAGGACTGCTCGCTCAAGATCCAGGTTTCGATCTCGCTTTTGCCCTCACAGGGGAAGCTGCAGAAGAACGAAGCCGCAGACGGGAAGGCGGCAAGCCGCAAGAAACAGGTCCCCCCCCCAAATCGCCGCGATGGGGTGCACCTACGTGGTCAGATTTGGAGCACCCTAACTAAAATCAGGCTGAGCCTGACTGGCTCCTGGAAGGCCATCTTCGCTTAAAAGGGACTTGCCAGCTCCGGTGCCGCGCTTGCTTGTACCAAGCTAGAGCCAGGCTTTGAGGCACTGGCACGCGGCGCTGAAGGACCTTCGGACACGGAAGGCAGGGACATGCAGACCGGCCAAGGGACCATGTGTGTGTGTGTGTGTGTGTGTGTGTGTGTGTGTGTTTGTGTTTGTGTTTGTGTTTGTGTTTTTGTGTTTGTGTGTTTGTGTGTTTGTGTGTTTGTGTGTTTGTGTGTTTGTGTGTTTGTGTGTTTGTGTGTTTGTGTGTTTGTGTGTTTGTGTGTTTGTGTGTTTGTGTGTTTGTGTGTTTGTGTGTTTGTGTGTTTGTGTGTTTGTGTGTTTGTGTGTGTGTGTGGTGTGTGTCTGTGTGTTTGTGTGTTTGTGTGTTTGTGTGTTTGTGTGTTTGTGTGTTTGTGTGTTTGTGTGTTGTGTGTTTGTGTGTTTGTGCGTTTGTGTGTTTTGTGTGTGTGTGTGTATTTGTGTGTGTTTGTGTGTGTTTTTGTGTGTTTTTGTGTGTTTGTGTGTGTGTGTGTGTGTGTTTGTGTGTTTGTTTGTTTGTTTGTTTGTTTGTTTGTTTGTTTGTTTGTTTGTTTGTGTGTTTGTTTGTTTGTGTGGTTGTGTGTTTGTGTGTTTGTGTGTTTGTGTGTGTTTGTGTGTGTGTTTGTGTTTTTTGTTTGTTTGTTGTTTTGTTTCGTTTGTTGTTTTGTTTTGTTTGTTTGTTTGTTTGTTTGTTTGTTTGTTTGTTTGTTTGTTTGTTTGTTTATTTGTTTGTTTTGTACCCCTCGTGGGCATGCGCAAAAGGGAAGCCAACAAGAAAACCACCATTTTGGGCATTATCCCAGGTTGCTCATGGTTCCCAGACAGCCGTTCCACAAATTGACCATGGCGAAGATCCCTTACAGCCCTTGTGCCAAAGCCGGTGACAGGCGCATGCAGAATTGGAGGCCGGGAAAGCACCGCAGTTGGTGCTTCGCTTTTGATCTTTCGGATGCATAGGCTGACCTGTCCTGGCTCTTGGCCGATCCTTTCGTCGGAGCCTCATTTCCTTTGAATGTGGTGGGGCCTCCCGGGTTCTACCTGGCTGGATTCTTCCACTGGGCTGGATGCCTCCGCCAGGCTGACTCACAGACTCAGAGGGGATGATGGAAATGAAGGAGATTCGCCAAAATCACACGGAGGGGAATTCACTTGACCGGGGTAACCCCCCAAACCTCGACCCTCAGCCGCCCCGAGGGAGTCCAAGACACGGTGGGCAGCTTGCTGAAGCTGAGTACCTGCCCGGAAGGAGCGCAGAGCCTTCTTTTTGTTGGGGTTTCCCTCGAGAAGGAAAACAGGACGCCCTTTGTCGTGGAATCCCCCTTTTCGGGATGGACTGGCTTTGTCGATCTTCAGCATGAGCCTATGGGAGAATGTCACCACTTGTTGGGCCCTCCCAAATGGCAGCAGTTTCATGTTGGCCTGCTTTCAAGACTTTACGTCCAAACTTCCCAACCAGGGATATTTTGCTTGACGCATGCCCTCCAGTGTTGCGAAGGAGGCGAGAGCCTGACTGAAGAGGCGTGATGGTTTTTGCGCATCCGGCGTCTTGTCAGAGGCCTTTGGAGATGGGACCTTGTTTGGCTTGGCAAGAGTCGGAAGGTGCGCTTGAAGCTTCTTCTACTTTACGGCGCATGTGCTTCAGGAGGTGGGCTGGCAATGTTTGCACCCAGAAGGGCGAGGTGGCATTTGCCCAGGGCGTCTTTGGACAATTTCCGGCAACTCGGGGCCTTTTTGGAATGCACAAAGGTTGGGCGCAAGGCGCGAACCTCCACTGGCTCGAGCCAGGCAATGGCCTGCTCGCAGCTCTTCAGCCGGCACCCTCAGTGACTCTTCTTTTGCGAGCTCTGAGCGACGCCCTCATCGCACGCTTAAAAGAAATCCTATCCTGCTTGCACTGTGCTGCTCTGCTTTCTCAGTACTTATAGCTGAGAAGCGCCAAGAGTCACTATGCCAGCGTGACAGGCTGTTGCATGTTGCGTTCACCCCATTTGCCTGCAGACTCTCAACTGACACTAGCTGCCTAGCTGCCTATGGGGCAAGAAAAGACGCTTATGTCAACCCCGCTCCCCCCTAGGGGTGGGGGGCTGTACCTGGTCTGGGCATCCGAAGCAACAAGCAGTCAGGGCCGGCTGCACGGAAGCGTCGCTGGCGGAGCTCGGCCTCAGCCGGGCTCCTGAAAGGGCTGAAACCGAACCCTCTTAAGCTTGCCTGAGTTGGCAAGCTTTGAAAGTTTGTTGGGGTTGCCAAGGCCAGAACAAAGGCCAGAACACTCAGCAGGTGTGGCTGAAGAACACCAAAGGATGCCTATTGGCCTATTGGAATCACTATCTTTATGCCATGCGTTTTGCTCGAGGGTGCCAATTGGGTGGGGTCACAACCTCCGCTAAAAGAATCTAGAACGTATCCGTATTGGCCAGACCGACCTAGCCATGTCTTGCTCCAGCCATTGCTTTGAACAAAGACTGAGCGTCACAGATGGAGATGCCCACTACTTCCTATGGTTTGCTTTCCCAACGGTCCCCACGGAACCCGCGCGGAGGCTTGGGCCACCTGACGGCAGCCCTCCGGTGCTTCGCCGAGACGGAGGAGCTCGGGCCAAATGGACGGTAACATGAGCAGAAGCCCACCAGGGACTCTCGACTGTTGGCCCAGCCCGGGGCCCGGAGGAGAGCCTGACTGACTCTGTGTTCGCCGCTTCCTTGGAGAACTCCATGGCCTGCCTGGGGCTTGGCACTGGCAAGGGTGGGGACTTGACTTGAAAGGCGGTTTGAATTGGATCGTTTTGATGGGAGGCGTCAGTGGTTCCGTCGCGTGTTTTGCACAGCTTGTTTTGGCCCTCGCGGGCTGATCCTGGATGCGAGGCGCCCGAGCAAAAGGGGCAGCTGGAGCAACTCACTCAGCTGGAGGGGAGTGCGGCGGACTTGGTTAGTGCCCATAGCCGAGGCACGGGCCGTGACAGCTTTGCGGCTCCTGGTGGTCGTGCTCGCAAGCAAGGCTGTGTGGCGCTGTGAGTCCTGCATCGAATCCATGGTGTGGTTGTGGGATGGTTGCAAAAGGCATCAAGAGGACGTCAGCCATTTGGGCCTGGCACGTTCCATTTGCAAGCCCAGCAGAGTTCTCAGACCCCCTTCTCAGAAAGAAGGTTCCATCCATTCCTGGGCGGATTTGGGAAGTGGGGGGGGGAGCTGCAGGCCGTGGCCAACAGACAGACGGCGCACCTGGAGGTTTGCTTGCGGCTGGCCAAAGCCTGGCGGCCGCCGCGGCCCAAGACAGGTGCCGGCGGCCAACCATGTTGCGGTTTTCCTTTTTTGAGGGCACGCCTCAATGAAACTGTGGGCAGGGTGGGTGGCCATAGCTGAAGGTACACTTTTTTTGTTTTCCTCTTCGGTGCTGATGCTTGTCAATGCCAGGGGCTTTTCTGGGGGACACATATCCACGTTGGCCATGAGCCGTGGCGGTTAGACGAGGCTGCCGGCCAAGGGCACCAAGGTGGCCGACTGGGTCGACCAGCTGCTGGTGGCTGGCAGCTTACCTGGCCCTGCGTCCCTGGGTAAGAGGAGTCGCCGAGGATTGGCTGGTGAATACCGCCAAGAGCCTTGGAGCCCTCTTCCACTTCAACTTGCGCAAGAACGTCTTGGAGCACCTGACCTTGCTGGCGCAGCAGGCGACTTCCATGACTGGCTAACTCTCGGCGCTCGCATGCGAATTGCCCGATTGTTTTGAGGACCCCCTCGCCCACTTCAAAATCGCCAACCTGCTCGCGGAGCTGTGCCCATGCGTCGAGCCGTCTTGCCTTGCGAAGGAAGGCGGGTCCTGGAGTCCCGGCCCTGCGCGTCATGAGGTACTCGGTCTCCAACTTTGCCTCCTCCCGGGAGGAGTTGACCTTTGTCGGCAAGGCCCGGTGCGATGGCTGGCAGCCAGCTTTCGATGGGTTGCTCACAGTTGCTGGAAATGGAACGCAGTAACGCGGTGATGCCAAAGGCTTCCCATTTCAACGACAAAGCAGTCTAGTATGCCACACTCTCGGTAAAGCAGCACAAGAGGGGTTTCCGGGACCACGCTGCTTCTCTCTAGCTACAAGCAGGCAGGAAAACCATATTTTCAATTTCGGACAGGCTCTAGAGTCCGGCTGCTGCGAGAATGCGCACCATGCCTGGTGGAAGGACATCTCCCGTGCGACCTCTTAGGAAAAGGCAGTGGCAGGTCTGAGCGGTGCACGATGCTTAACGGCGTTTGCATGCATCCTCTGCTGAGGTCTCTATTTGGCCCTTGTCCACCCGAAGCCCTACCTCCACAAGGCAAGCATCCTTAGAGTCGGCTGGCTGGCTTTTCCTGGCTGTCCTCCGGACTTTCGGAGTCAAGTTCTGGGATCCGCCGTCAGAAGCGTCAAGACAAGGCTGAGCAGCTCCCAACCTGTGCGCCAATTCTCCCCACAGGTCTACCAGCAGAGCCTCTTAGGGAAGCGCATGCCCTTGGAGGCAGGAGGGTTAGCGTGTGGAGGGTTTCGAGTCTGTTCAACAATGTTTAGATCGTTTGTTTGTTTTCAGCCCGTTGATTTTGTTGGATCTCGGCAGCTTGGGCCCCTCCTTCCTCCAAGGCCTCCAGATTGGTTGGCTCCCAATGGGTCCCCCGTCAACGGCGGGGCCCAGGCCTTCACTCCGCAGTCCCCCTGCAGCCCGGCGCCGAAGCCGGCGGAGACGCCGGAGCCAGAGTCCAGCGCCGCTCGGCCTACAGCTACGTAAACCGCCGAAAAGTCCCACCCTCGCCCATGAGGGGAAGAAAAACGGATTCAACACCGATTGGGCTCCTTCGGTTTTGGCATGGCAAGAGCTTCCCATCTTGCTTCTGCTGGACAACGTCAAGTTTCGACTGGGCTGAAGCCGAAAGGATATCCCAGCGAACAATGGCAAGAGCATGGTGATGTGCGTTGTGTTTTGAAAGGGAGGAAGATTGTGGAAGGTTTACATCGGTTCCCCATTTCCGCAATGAGAACAGGTGTCCCCTTGCGAGGCTTCCTACACGGCCGAGGCTTCCTACACTGCTAGGGCCTTAGCGAGCTCTTAATGTTCTTCAATGGCGCCCAATAGTCGTCGGCTCCAAACGGGCATGAACTTTGACTGGGGGCCCGGTGGTGGACATCATGTAGCAGGGTGTTTGTTTAACCATGGCCAAAATCAGTACTGGATCCCTCCAAGTTCAATATCAAAGCCTTCATCTGGGTCCCTGGGAGATGGCCATGATAGCCCCAAGCCTTGGGATTGGACTAGATAGAGCGTTTGCCAGGTGATGTGTCACAATCGGAGCCATGTAGATCAGTTTTGAAGCACGGCCAGAGGTTGGGTGACCCTAAAGGGGTTCTGGGATGCTACATGGAGGATCGTCCTTGGCAAGCTGGAACTCATTCATAGGCAATCCGTGCAACACCCGTTTAAAATCCCGAGGGCTGGCTCCCCGACCCAGGAGCGGGGTGCCAACGCTGTCGTCCAGCACCGCGAGCGGCTGGAAGGCACAGACTCCCTGCTGACGGCACGGATCTCGCAGACCGCTGGGGGTCCTGGGAGCCTTGGGAAAAAGCATTTTGCTCTTGCACCTCCATTCTGGAGGAAGGTTTCGGATGCCTATTCTGACCTACCAATCGCATGTTGTACGTCGATGCATTCACTTACCTTTGTCACCGGCGCACCGTTGTTGAATCAAGATTTCAGAAGCAGACCCTTCCTCAGTCCTCCACTTTTGGGACTGGTTTTTCGCGCTCCAAGAGCATCGGATAGATGGGTGGATTCCAGAAGCTCTAAGGTTCACCAGTTCTGCAAGGCGGCGTCCACCTATGGTGGTGCCACCATGGCGGAAGCGGCGGCGCAGGCGATGCAATGCAACGCGAGGGGCACGGTTCGGCGCCGGAATCAAAGGCTGAACGTGTGAGCCCGGTTGTTGAGCCCTTGATATGATTCATGGGGTTCATAATGGGACATATAAAAAACGTGTAGGTGGTGGGCTTCCTGGCAGATGCCTATGAAGGCACTCCCTGGCCAAGCCCTCAGAGGGCACGTGAGAGCGGTGGGTTGCTACAGGCAAGGTTCTGTTAGGTTCCTCTGGTGCCACAAGTCTGTAGTGCAGCAGTTCACTACCCAAACGGCTTGCAAGGCAATGCCACCTGGCAGCCGGCTGGATTGCCACGCTGCGATGTGGAGGCCGGTGCAGACCAGACCCCTTTAGCATGGATTTTTTGGAGGCAGGGGTGACGCTTGCGAGGCCAGCAGACGGAGGCTGAACAGGCGCAATCGGGAATAGCTTGAGTCAGCCTTGGGCTTGATGGCTGGAACAGAGGCGGAGGGCACGCGCAAGGTGTCCGCATCCAAGAATTGCCAGTGGCGGGTGGCAATGTGAGCAGCGTCTTGCTTCTTATCGCCGGCTCTTGGATGGTGCCGGGTCTGCCACGATACTGTGGATTGACAAAACCTTGCATTGATTGCTCTATGAATGCTGGGGTAAACCACTTACCAACTGTTGTGAAGGGAACTTCGCATATCCACATGACCCAGGCTGCGGGAGCTTTTGGTTCAGAAGATGGTGGCAGACTTCGTCCCGGAGCGTGCCGACCGTCTACTGGAGCGGGCGAGCCGGCGGCAGCTGCCGCATTGGCCCCTTGGAAAAAATTGGGGCTTCCCCTCGGTGATTTGAGGGCAGGTCAACCTGGAGGTTTGGCTTTTTGCATTTTAACAAGGAGGAAATCCCCTTTCATGGGCAGTGCGCTGGCAGGCTCCAACCTCCCCTCCTCTGTTGCAACTGCCCCTGCCTGTGCTCACCAGGCTGCAGGCCTTCATCAAGGTGCCAGAGTGGCGGCGGGTGATCTACGAGCTGGCCAAGCAGAGCCGAGGCTCCGGCGAGCGACGCTCGCAGCCAGGGGCTTTTGAGGTGTTGCCACGTGTTGCCCTTGGTGAAGCTTGGTGACCAAGAGCCGGACGTCTGAAGGGATGGGTTCGCTGCTAGGGATGCGGCGTGGCCAGGCAGATCATCGACGTTCCTGTCGGGTGTGCTCCTCCACATCGCTGAGGTGCCCTTTTTTGGGTCTTGGCACGGTTAGCAATTGCCACAAGGTCCTCCCCAAGAGGGATGACTGTATGTATCCCTCATGTCCCTTTGGACAAAGATGCTCCCTACTCCAAATAACCACTTGCTTTAAGGTGTCATGTTCACCCCTACAACGCCAGGTTTTCAAATTATGCCTTTCATCCAAGTGCGTATCGGAGTAGGGGATCTGTGGATCCGACCGGAGGCCAATGACTTCACCGATGAGCTGCTGGAGCACACCTCGAGCTCCGAGAGCTTTCACTTGCTGGGCGCAAAGAGAAAACGGTCCTCAGACCACCCGACCTGGGACGAGAGAGGGAGAGAGAGAGAGAGAGAGAAAGCGTCGATTTGGAGGTTCCCCAAGCCAGCAACTGCTTTTTAGATGTGTCCTTCAAGGAACCTCGAAATAACAGGTGGGTTCTGAGAATCCCCCTTTAAACCACACCTCCCCTTCTCAAGTTTAGGGGTGGCAACCAATGTCAGCCGCGTTTTATTGCATCCCAACTTCTTGATTCGGTGGGTCAAGCTGAGTTCATTCATAGCTCGGGGGTTGCTGCTCTATCATTATTTACGACTGACGCCTTTAGAGAGCTCAGGTTTTGCCGCAATGTCCGCATCTTGCTGGTGAGATGCTTCGACGTGGGCGCGGTGGATGAGACACTCACCAGGCGTGGGCCGAGTGACATGGAGCCATGACAACGGCCATGGGCAAGTGGTTGCCTAGGCCATAAAATTGATGTCCTTAGTCATGTATAAGGCAATATGGTCAAGCATGATCCTTTCAAGTCCCGGCCAGCTCGGCCAGGAAGGCAGTAGACAACTTCTGCCAGCTGAGCTGCTACTCGAAGTATACTTACATGCCGCAGACTTGGCCGGGAGAGTGGTGGGTCAGCCGGGGATTGCCACCAGCCGCTTGAATTGAGTTCGAGGCGAGCGTTCCACAACGCGCTAAGCCATGGAATCGCAAAATGTCACTGGGATGTCAAATGGGGGAGCTCAAATAAGGACCCATGTAGCAGAGAGAGAGAGAGAGAGATGCATCCGTCAGGTACTCCCAGGGCATCTTGAGAGAGCTGATGCGCCGCTGGCTGAGATCAAGGTTGAAATATGGGTGAAGTGAGGAGAGATCCCTTGGGATCGGACTGGAGGCATGTGCCCTCTGCAACGGCGGCCCCTGATGTGCATCAGCCAGGCCGGAGAATTCGAGTTGAGATGTCGGCCAACCAATTGCAGCCAAGCGTTTTGCAAGACTTGAATTTCCGCTTCAGCCCATGATCCCTTCAGGGAATCGCACTTATGAACAGATGGGTGCCATCAGGCCCTGACTGGGATGGGCAACCGCCTCTTCAGCGTGGCAGCAGCCTTGGCATATAAGGAGCACAGCATGCGGCAGCTGAGAGTTGCGAGGTCTTGCGCCTGGACCTACGCCTTAGCCCAGCCGCCGCCCAAGAGTTGGAGCTGCCTGCGGCTACCGGACCACCAGACCAAGGGTTGGTGCATCTTATGTGGCAGTTTGGCGCACAAGGTCGGGAGGTACCCGGAGGCAGGGTGCCATGTTTGCCTGGATTCAAGTGCTTTTGGCGAGGTTGTTCCCTGATCAATAGCCCGGTGATAGAGACTCGAAGTGATTCTTTCTATGAAAGGGCCCGGGCCCGCCCCCTGGACAAACAACCAGTGAGAGGCGAACCAAACGCACGTGTGCACCAAACCATTTAATTTGCAGGAGAATTCTCTAGTTGCGAAGCCCCGGATTTTCTGTTGGTGAGGGGGGGGGTTCCTGGCAACCCCAACCAGTTCAAGGGTCCGCGAGTCTCACAGGTGTCCAAGATGCTGCACTCCATGTGTCGCTTCGGGCGCCAGCCCCGCTTCGTGGCCGCGGACGCTGGGGGCCCCAAATGCCCAGCTTGGAGGCATTGACCCTTTGCCAAGTGATGACTGCTGGCCTTTTGTTGGCATCGGGCCCAACGCAAATGGAGGAAATGAAACGATCCGTGCATTTGGCCCCATCACAAGGCAACAGCGCAACAAGCCTCGTGCTCAACTGTTTGCCTGGCGAGCGGCTCGCCTCCGAGGTTGTCAAGCTGTGTGGCCTTATCGAGAACATCGTGGCGAGCAAAGTCCACGCGGACGCTCCTCGGTTCGACGGCAGGCTTTAGCCAGACAGAGACGCTGAGAGAGAGAGAGAGAGAGAAAGAGAACGAGTTAGGCAGAATTTGTTCTTTGGCAAGGGCAGCATCCCATGTTGAGTGCGCGTGCATGTCAAACAAAGAAAGGCGGGGGGGAAAAACGCGCCCGCGCGCGGGGCAAGAGAGCAAACAGGCACCTGCGCAGTCCGGGTTTCACCGTCCCAGACGCCTCGCTGAAGACAGCTCAAAGTTGCTGAAGCACCCCACTACCACAAACCACAGATTTCTTCATGGAAACGTAATGTTGAGCCCAAAATGGAGGCATCGAATCTTTGCTTTCGACAAGGGTTTTATGACTTCTTCCTGGCCGTTTGCCCGGCTGGCGCCGGGTTTGTGCTGAGGAGAAGGAGGACCAGGGACCTGCCACTCCCCAGAAGGCGGCCAGAGAGGCACCGGCGGAGAAGCCGGCAAAGCGCCAGAAGAAGGAGAAGAACCCAAGCCTGAAGGAGGAGAAGGACAAGAAGCACAAGAAAGAGAAGAAGGAGAAGAAAGAAAAGAAGGAGAAAAAGGAAAGGAGAAAACAAGCGAAGGAAAAGAGGAAGCAACAAAAAGCCAAGGAGGCTCAAACGCAGGAGTCGGAGGAGGCGCTTCAGAACCTGACGCGCACCCAAAGTGACGGGAGTAGGCTTGTGAAGTTTGTTTCCTTGGAGGCCTCAGTGCCCTTTGCCTTTTTCACTGCTTGAGGCACTGTTTTCGCCTGCTTAGATGGTTTGGATTGACTCGGACAACCAACCCAATACGCGGATCTGATTTGGCGTGCTGCATGCAGGCTGCAGATCAGAAGGACAAGGAGTCAGACACAGAGGCGGGGCTGAATCCGAGGCTTTCTTGCCTGGCTGTTGCTGGCGGCCAGGGTGGTAATTGTGTGGCCAGCTTTGCCAGGAAAGCCAAACAGGAAAGCCAATTACTTTTGGCCCTAGTCTTTTGGCAGTTGCCACAGGTCTTCATTTCCTGGCGTTTGTTTTTCAATCCTTCCACTTCATGCAATGATGGTTTGCCCGCTTCTGGGGTAGCGGTAGGTCGTCACTGAAAACCTCCAGCCCTCACCTTTCTCTGAGGTCAGAGGCCAGGATGTACCCTCCAATGTGTTTCAGGAGGAACTCGGGGTTTAGATCCCGAAGCCGTGCACTGGCAGGTTTTTGCCTTGCCCAACGGCGACCCCTTTGTTGGGCATACTTTCAGTCTGAGATGCAGAACCACTACATCTGTGGTTGAGTAGCAAAGCAGATGAAATCGCATTGGTTTGTTCTCCTGCTTGCACAAGGCTAACCTTGTTAGGGTGTTTCAGGTCCGGGTTTTGGAAGTCAGATGCGAACCGCGATTCCGTTTTATCCTTCGAGCTTACAACGGTGGCATCTACTCCTCCAAGCATACCAGAGAATACCCTTGAACCACTGATTTGGGCACGCTCGCCCGGTGCAGGTCGCCTCATCCCTGGACAGCTGGCTCGATGGGGAGGCCAACGAGGCGCCAACGGCCGAGAGCGCGGCCGAGTCCGCCACTCCAGAGAGCTCGGCTGGCAAAGCCAAGGCGGGTGCAGGGTGCGACCCATTTTGACGAAAGTGAACTGATCCTTCGGTTTTCAGGCTTCCTTTTGGTATTGCGATGTCTTCTTTGGATCTCAAGTCTTGGTCCCAGTTGCTCAAGACTCAAGGAGGGCCTGGCCCAGGAACTTGCTGGGGGAGAAAACTGAGTGTGTGGCAGGAGCCCAAGAGTGCGAAGGAGCTGAAGGAGGAGGCCAAAGACCGCCCAAAGAGCCCTCAGGCGAAGGCGCTTGGGCCTAGACTAGAAAATTCGGATGCGGGTGATTTGGCCGCGCATTTGATTCGATAATTAGGGTTCTATGATTTGGTGATTCCACGGTTAGGCGGAGCCAAAGAAGAAGGAGGACAGCGACAGCGAGGTGAGCCGCAGCATCAACCAAACGGTGGGAGTTTGATTTGACCTGAGGCGTCCACTGACCAAGCGTCCTGGGTGTCGAACCCGCAGGCAAGATCTGCAAGAGGTTTGTGCCTGGGCTTGCGGTTCCGGCATGCTTTGCTGCAAGGGATCGGTCTCCAAGCAGAAGACGGAGAAGTGTACTTCTTAGAACAGCAGTGTGCGTGCCAGTTGTACTCACCCAACAGAAGAGGCCTCAGGTCTTTTTCGTCATGACATGTCGGAGCCTGACCTGTCACCCGAACTCACCGGAATCCTGACGGCCACTCAATAGATTTTGGTGAGAACCTTCGTGCGACGCGATTTCCTGGGAGTGTCAATGGTTTTGGAGTTGTTGCATGACCCCCCGCCCCCCGCCAACCCCCCCAACAAACCGTGGACCTGGAGAGGAAGCCACAAGGGGTGCATAGTTGTTATATTTCCAGGTCTCCTGTTTGGCGCTGGGAGTACCCAGTACCCAGGACCGCAAGCATCTGGAACATGCCCGCGCCAGATGAGTCTTCGCGGGAGGCCGGAGCAATCAGGGGAGGCAGCTTCAGGTTACCTGCATTTTTGACTAGGTTCTATGGACTCTTCAGTGGTTGTTCGCTTTCCCCACGCTCTGGGGCGGGTGCGACGCGAAAAATGAAAAGGCTGTTGTGCAGGGTGCTCTTACGAGCGGTGCTTTTACTCAGCGCAGGGTGCTGTTGACGGGTGCTGCTGGTACGGGTGATGGATGATGATGAAGGGCTATAGACAGTGGCAAGTTTAGGGTGCTCACTCACGACTACATACAGTGGCAAGTTTACGCATCAGGCGATAGCCCGAGAAGAGAGCAAAGTTTGTTCGAACACAATGCTAGGACTTTAGCAATCCTTTTCTTGGATTACGGCAAGGATGCGGTTTTTGCACATTTGGCCGTTGCAAAGCAGGGTGTCGTCGCAGCAGATGACTGCGCGCTCAAGGTTGCATTTTGAATTGACACTGAGTCCTTCAGGTGCTGTGAACACATCTCTTCTATTTGAGGTCTATGCTGGTTGGGAAGCCGCGTGTAGATCAGCAGACATGTAGAGAAGGCTCTTTGGGGGGTTGCGCATCCTGTCAAGACTTCGACAGGCAGATGGCGAAACCTCCATGTGCCAGCAGCTCAGGAATGCCTTTGGTTGATCGGTGCCCTGCTTGGCGGCCAGGCGGAAACCATGATCCTACCAAAGGCGCTTGGATAAGAGGGGGTCGGGGAGCACTTAGTGAAAGTGGAATGGCGTGGCCTCAACGTGACCCAACTAAAAATGTCTTGCAAGCTGCTCTGTAGCGGCCCTTTTGATTCTGTACCATAGTTGGGTAGACCATTTGAATACCAGGATTGATCATGACCTTCACGTTGACACCCAAGGCAAGCTCTGTTGAAACGGCTGGTCTGGCCAGGGGTGAGAGGAGTGCTGGAGTCCATGCGCAGCCGGAGCCTCGGAGCACAGGACCGCACAATCACTTAGTGGGGGAGGGAGGGGCGGGGCTTGGGGGGCTTGGGGGGATGGGGGGACAGTCCCAAGCGGCCCCAAGCGGCTTCTTGTTTTTTTTGGTAGGCCCCTCCCTCCAATACCGTTGTAATACTACCTGTTGTTTTGATTGCGACTCACTCTTTGGTGGTTGATGTGACACCTGCGACACCAAAGAGCCCACACCTACTTGTTTTTGGGAAAAACACTTGATCTGGAAGCCAGGCCCGGTCATCATCGAAGCCTTGCTAACCCGTTTCGCTGCGAGCTCAACTGTTGTAGAATGTTGATGGGGGAAGGAGCTGCAGTGATGGGAAGCCCCGGGAAACCATACCCGCTCCCTTTTGACGTTCATAGGAGAAAGCACTTGCAGAATGCTGCGTGTTTATCAAACAATATCAAACCGCTCCCCACTCAGGGAAACTTGCACCCGCACATCAGTCAGCATCTCTTGGGGCTCATCGCCATTTTGGATGGGTTGCAAGCAGGTCTTTTGGCGGTAAGCAGGCTCAACATGCATAAGCTCGAATGCCATTAGATACGATTTCATGAATGAGGCTAAGCCAACGGGGATCATGATGTGCTTCCTTCACATGAAGCAACCGCTAAGGAGTATGTTGTGTTTCTGGTTGCCCCAACCCCTTGAAAACCTGACTGTGCCGGTCTCCGGTGGGACGGACGGACGGGCCGGATGTCACTTAAAAGCTAACGACCCCAAGCATGTCGGGTGGTGGAACAATTACGCATTCGCATGTTTTGTTTACATGCTGGTGTGGCCAACCAATTTCCAGAAGACAAGACACATTGCATTGTATTGATGAACGAGGAAGCCAGAGGAACCTCACATCCCGAGGTGGACCCGTTTGAGGCCCAGCTTTCTGAGAAGGATTGCAATTCCTACGTGGCCTGGCCGAAAATATGAGGGACTAGAGTCGCTACTTTTGTTTTGGCACGCACTGATAGATGTATTTGACGTATGCCGTGTGTCAATTTAACATGGAATGTCCCCTTGCACCCTTGCGACAGGGTCGGTGGGGAGCATCTTTTGAACAAATCCCAACACCAAATTGCTGGAAAGCTTTCCTCTGTATTTAGACCCTTTGGTTTCGGACGTTCTGTTTTGGCTGTGTCTTGCGCGCCAGAGAACAATTGCATACCATGTCATGTCATTTCCCACCCTTGGCGATTCACGGGAAGCCTTGAGGAACATAGCAAAAAGGTTCCTTACCGAACCAGACGGATCCGAGTCCGGGCCCTGCAAGAAGTTGACTACAGATACCGAGATACAGAGTGGCAGCGCGGCAAGAACAAGTCCGATTCACTGCGGGCGTGATGTTGCCGTGAAGGAAGCGGACATTGGCCAATAGCAGCGCCTGTGCAACCTAGTGAAGATTTTTGCGCCGCCCTCAACAGGACCACCAGCCCGAGTGCAGCGTTCTGTAGAACGCAGCACGTTTGCGCAACAGGGCACGCGAAGACGAAGTAAAAGACACCACGTGGGCCGCAATGTTCGTTTTCCATCCCTGAAAAATAGTTGGACAAAAGCGCGTCGCTGCTTGATGAGGATGTTTCTGTGGGTGTGTGAGAATGGCTGGGCCCGCAATTTCCATCGAGCTGACCTGGCCAGCGAAGGTTGCCATTAACAGCCCATCATGAGTCGTTGAGTCGTCTTTGTGGCTCGGGGGATTGGCGGAGACCTTCCATGGGCAACGCGGATCTTGCCTGTCGAGGCAAGACTGCTGGCGACCTGCTGCCATGATGGCGTTCTGGCGGCGCACGGCACCAAGCCGAGGACAGACGCAGAGGAGGCGGGCTGGCTTGGAACATGATTTTTCGAGGTTGTTTAAGAGTTGGCTTGCAGATCTTGCAGGCGGTGCTTCTGCGAGGCTTGCAAGGTTATGTCAAGATTCCGTGGCAACATAGACATAGTCTGATAGAGAGAGACAGGCAGGTGGAGAAATAGAAAGGTAGATTAGACAGATGGCTAGATAGAATGTTAGAAAAGTAGAAAAACATATTGACCGACAGATAGACAGATAAGTTGGGAAGATAGTTAGGGTAGGTAGATAGGCAAGTAGATGGACGGATAGGTATCTGGATGGGATAGATGAATTTTGTTAAAATACGAATACGGATAGATAGAAGGAGGGATACATTGGTCGCTGGATAAAGTAGATATATTGTAGATAGATAGATCGACAGACGGATACACACACACAGACATATACACACGCATGCATATATACACAACGTTAACTTGCAAAAGCAGCATGAGATTTGCATTTCCACCTCTCCAGCCATCCAATCGCAACTTGTAAGAGCAAAAGTAGCTCACTAGGTACACTTCTGCAGCTGCAGCCGCCAGCCTTCTCGGGCATCCACATTGCGCGCAGATATGGACAAGAGAGGTTGACAAGAGAAACGGACATGAAAGGTTGGGCAAGAGAGATTGCAGAGCATCGTGCGCAAGAGGAAGCATGGGCAACGACTCGCGCGGCGTCACTCGCAGCATCATCCGCGGCGTCGCCCGCAGCACCACGCTCAGCTAGCATCATGCGCAGCTGCCAGCGTCAGTTCACAGCATCATGCGTAGCATCACACGCATCACGCGCAGCATCAACCCAAAGCACCACGCGCAAGAAAAGTTGACCGGAGAGATTGCGAAGCACAATGCTAGGCTTTGCTCATTAGAACTTGCAGAAGCTCCACCTCAGTAGGGGCGTTTGACGTGTTTACGTTTTGGCGCCTGCCAGGTGAAGGAGGTGTCAGAGTTGACTTAGCGTGTTTCTATGCTTCCGAACCCGCCGTCTGGTTTGTTTGCCTCTGAGACAAACCCAATCTTTCGCGAGCTTGGGGGCCGCCTCGAGCCCCACGAGGTTTGCCACAGGTACAGTGGCGCCGTGTTTGTTGGCTTCGGACCTCTGGATAGCTCGCGGATCGCGGCTCTCACGCCTCGAATTTTCGAGGGAAGGTGACCTTTCTTTCGCGCTGCGCGTTGCCATCTGCAGGTGTTTCTCCTTGAGCCGCCAGCT